CGCTTAGCACGGAGTCTGCTTGAGACTCTCTCCCTCTCTCTCTGCCCCTCCCCTCTGTTCTCTCTAATAAATAAATAAATCTTTAAAGAAAGGTTAAAATATTAAATTTTGTATTATATATATTTTAGCACAATAATGACAACAGTCATTCTTGACTCACGTGGTCTCTTAGCAGTGTTTGACACAGTGGATCATTGGAACCTCTTTTTTTTAAAAAAAATAAGAGCTTTTTAGAGATATAATTTATATACCATAAAATTCAAACAATTAAAGTGTACAATTCAGTGGTTTTTAGTATATACACAGACTTGTATAATCATCACAATTGATATTAGGACATTTTTGGCACCCCCTCGCCCCCCAAAAACCCTGTACCATTAGCAATCACTCACCATTCCCCCATCCGAATCCTGCACCACCCCTTGACCATCACCCATCTAGCTGCTGTGTTAGATATGCACATTTCACTTAAATGGAGTCCTACAGTGTATGGTCTTTTCGACTGGCTTCTTTCACTTAGCATAATGTTTTCAAGGTTCTTACATGTTGCGGCATGTGTTAGTACTTCATTTCCTCTTATTGCCGAATAATATTCCATTGTATAGATATGCTGTGTTTTATTTGCCCATTCATCAGTCAGTAGACATGTGGATGTCTCCACTTGTTGGCTACTATGAATAATGCTGCTAGAACGTTCAGGTACATGCTTTTGTGTGGATACATGTTTTCATTTCTCATATTCTCACCTTAAAAGGCATTTCACTTAACCTCTGGCACACCACTGTCTAAAGATCAACTGGTATTTTATTAATATTATATTATATTATTTATTTTTAAAGATTATTTGAGAGGGAGTGTGTGCACAAATGGGAGGGGCAGAGGAAGAGGAAGAGAGAAATTCAAGCAGACTCCGGGCTGAGCATGGAGCCAATGCGGGACTCGATCTCACAACCCTGAGATCATGACCTGAGCTGAAACCAAGAGTCAGACTCTCAACTGACTGCATCCTCCCAGGTGCCCCTCAGCTCCTGGTATTTTAAAATTGATTGCTTGCTCTTCTGAAAAGAGGACTAGATCTGGCTTTTAAGCTCTGGGAAGGATCTCCTTGTTCTTTTCAAATTCAGTGTCAGAATTTTGGTTTAAAAATACATTAATTTTGTGTTTCCCTAAATAAAGGAGTATCACTTTAACTTATCTACTAAGGAAATGAGTTTTAAGAACTTAGCACATGCTTTTCTCAGAGAAAAGTGGCCAAGCTACTTGGCCATATCTTTGCCTCTTAGTTCGCGGTACCACAAAGCAAATGGCCAAATTTCACTTTAAATGAACTGATAAGACAAATTGAAGGCTTTAAAATCCTTATCAGAGCTTTTAAAGATGTGAAAGATTGGTAGAGGTGAACTCAAAAAGTTCTGTATACTTTTGAATTTTGGACAATTTTATTTTATTTTGTTTTTTAAAAATTTTTTAAAGATTTTATTTATTTATTTGACCGAGAGAGAGTGAGAGAGGGAACACAAGCAGGGGGAGTGGGAGAGGGAGAAGCAGGCTTCCTGCTGAGCAAGAAGCCAGACGTGGGGCTCGATCCCAGGGCCCCGGGATCATGACCTGAGCCGAAGGCAGACGCTTAACCATCTGAGCCACCCAGGCACCCCATGGTTAGAATTTTGGACAATTTTAAATAATCACATATGAATATACTGCAAGTTTTCTATGGAAAGCTCTATTGTGATCTTTTTTATAAAGGATATTATTCCCTCATTTCACTGTTTGATAAGTAAATTTTACATCATTGTTTTAGGTTTTTGTTTTGCTTTGGTATCGTTTGCTTAAAGTGGGGTATTTTAAGCAGCTCTTTGTATTTTCCATTCTTCAATGAATTGTGTCATGAAGCTATATGTTTAAGTTCAAATTTTAAAGAGTATAGTGGGTTGAATGATGTCCTCCAATAGGATAGGACCATGTCCCAACCTCCAGAACCTATGAAGGTGACCTTATTTGGAAAAGAGTTTACAGATGTCATTAAGTGAAGGGTCTCAAGATACGATCATCCTGGATTATTCAGATGGTTTCTAAATCCAATGATGAGTATTCTTCTAAGAGACCAAAGGGGAGAAGGAGGGGCAGGTCACATGCAGATGGAGGCAGAGATTGGAATCTTGTAGCCATAAGCAAAGGAGGCCTGGAGCCACCAGAAGCTGAAGGAGGCAAGGAAGGATTCTTTCCGAGAGCCTAGGGAGGGGCATGACTGTGCCAATACCTTGATTTCAGACTTCCAGCCTCCAGACTGGGAGAGAATGAGTTTCTTTTGTTTTAAGCCTTTAAATTTGGTAATTTGTCATGGGCAGCACTAGGAACCTAATACAAAGGGTTGCTGATTTAATGGTTTTGTAAGGGGAAAACTTTTTTTTTTTTTTAAGATTTTATTTATTTATTTGACAGAGAGAGACACAGCGAGAGAGGGAACACAAGCAGGGGGAGTGGGAGAGGGAGAAGCAGGCTTCCCGCCGAGCAGGGAGCCGATGTGGTGCTCCATCCCAAGTCCCCGGGATAGTGACCTGAGCCGAACGCAGACGCTTAACGACTGAGCCATCCAGGTGCCCCAGGGGGAAAACTTCTTGAGTGGCAGACGGATAAACTCTTTTTTTCTGTGAATTGCTTGAGGCCTCTGTTACTCTTCCTCCCCACTTCCTTTCCCCCAGCTGCTCTGTCCCCAATTCATTCCCCTCCATCCCCCTGCCTCAACTTCTTGGTTCTGCTCCTTCCAAGCTCTGCCTGGAAGTTCCTAGTTACATCCTGTTAGCACATTTCCAATTTTCTGGACAATCTCTTATTTTTACTTTTTTTAAAGATTTTATTGATTTGACAGAGAGACACAGCAATAGAGGGAACACAAGCAGGGGGAGTGGGAGAGGGAGAAGCAGGCTTCCCGCCAAGCAGGGAGCCCGATGCGGGGCTCGATCCCAGGACCCTGGGATCATGACCTGAGCCGAAGGCAGACGCTTAACGACTGAGCCACCCAGGCACCCTGACAATCTCTTCTTTTAGTGGGACTGTGGGCTTTGATACTGTCCATTGACATGGTACTTATCTCTTTAGGTGGCCAGGACGGGGTTCCCAAATTCAAAATGTACAAGCATTCTGGATGTATGAAAAAAACAAAAACAAAACAAACCACAATAATGCAAGAACAAAGCTGAATGTCTGGAAGGAGGTATGACATGGTGACCAAGTGCTCTGCCCCATAAAGGGGCCATTTCTACTTAGCTCCAGGAAATTATTGCCACAAAGCATTAAGAAACTAGTGTTGCCAGATAAGATTTTTTAAAAGAAGCTGGATATCTGGATTTTTCTGTAAATCCCCTGATTTTTAGATAAGGTAACTAATTCATAGTAAGAAACAAAACCAAACCTCAAAACAACTAGCAAAAAAAAGTGTGTGTGTGTACCAAACAAAAACATATCTGAAGGCCCCACTGGCCCATATAATCCATTTTGTCTTAGGATGTAGAGGTGGTGGGTAGGATCATTGCATATATTTCTTGCATCTTTTGGGGCTCTTTAAAAATCTCCATCTCCAAAATGCTAGGCAATGGAAGTGTCCTCAAAGGTCTAATAGGTCGCTAACACCTTCCTGGGTCTGCCTTGCCGAATTTAACAACACAGAGACACTTTAACATGTTAAATATTTTATTCACATTGTTTACAAACTATATCCACCTGGAAAACACATGAGTCCAAAAATAGATTATTTTACAGTAATTCACATTTTTTCTTAAAAAAACACGTTGCTTTTGAAGTGAAGCTCTAAGCACGGAGGTCCCGAGCCTGTCCCGTGGCCTGTCCAGTGCCCGGTGGCCTGGAGCTTCCTGCTCTGCCAGAGAAGCAGTCCTCAGGGCAGGCCACCTCCTGTAGGTCACTAACGGCTTCCCTACCAGTGAGCGATGAGGAGATGTCAGTGCAGACTTTAACCCGTGAATGTTTACTGATAGCAATTCACCGTTGCTACTTTTGTCAAGGAAATACATTTTAGAGCTTGAGTACATGCCAGGAAGACAAAACAAAGGAGACTTACCATGTAATCGGCCATTACAAAGTTGTCAGGCCCTGGCCAGTTCTATAAAGGTTTAACGTCTGGGCCCACAGACAGAATCAACAAGTCACAATTTTGTGGTGTTGACGGCCTGGATCAGAAACAGTGGTGATTTGGAAATCGGTGCAAGGACCTGTGGACTAACTCTGCTGCGCCGCCCCCCCGCCCCGCACCACCAGGAGAAGAGGGGGACTAAACTCAGCAGGAATTAATAATGTGCCTAATTTTAAGTGTGTGGCCCTAGAAAGATGGCTGTGGGAGTTTTGCTGAATGGCCCAAAAGATGCCCTGGTTCAGATACTTACTTTAACCTATGCTAAATCCAATCATGTCCCAGCTTGATGCATTCGCTCTTTTATCAATTAAGAAACTTTCCTATGGCATTTGACTTTAATGATTAAAAATCTACAGGAGGCTTGTCTTACCCACATCTCACCCTGTCCTACTGTACTAGCTACCAAAGAGTCACTTTTCCTGTTTGCCTTTGCCAGGTGCCACAGTTAAATATGTGAAAACTTTTGGGCCCTCGGAAGGGGAGCACTGGATGAGTCTCACATGGCAGAAAGGGACCTTTTTCCTCAGAGTAGGTACCAATGGCACTGGCTATTGTGTTTCTGCAACTCTTGATTAGGGGAGGAATGTTTGATCAAGGTACCACAAAAGATCATTCCTTCCTTCCCATGGGTAAGAAAAAAAGAAGGAATTCCTTCAAGGGTTGCTGTCACCATGGGAGCAGACAACAGCAACTCTGAGTCCAAATGTAAGCTGAGAAGCGGAGAAATTTTATCAGCACCTTTGCAGGTGAACGACAACAACAACAACGAAAAGACTTTCAAATGTCTATTGCAATGCGATTGATTGTTTTAGAAGACAAGAAATCTGTACAAGGAGCTTGACGACGGAGCAGATCATAGCTTGTCTTCCTGCCACCCGTGTGCGTTTTTTCCAAATTTGTACACTAGCCTTCGGTCGACCCGTTCCAAAATTCCCGTTTTGTAGTAGTACCTGAGGAAGATAGCAGAAGAGAAATGCGGGGAGGCCCGCACCCCAGGAAGACAACAGAACATAAACACTCCCCTCATTCCTCTTGGGTGACCAGGCTGGTCTTTGGTTACCCTGGTATTTTCACACCCTGTTATCAGCTTACACTTAAACCTTTCCCAGACACCTTGAAGACTAAGCCTCACCACACTCAGCTCAAAACGAGTTTTGTGTGTGTGTGTGGGGGACGGCCTGCATTCGGAGTGATCCCCGGGGCCGCTGCCAAGAATGAGAAGGATGGCGTGTCCGTTTACAAACCATAATCCCACCTGTAACTAAGAACCAGAGTGTTGTCTCATGACCTTTCGATTATCAAGGAAAAAGCTGCAAAAACAGTTTAATTTTCTATGGCTGGCCATTTTATATAACTCTGCCCAAAGGCTCATGCATTTCATGCTATTAACTCACCTCAGAGCTCGGCTCAACTTTTCATACGTCATTCTGTCATTTTTCTTCCTTTGTCCCCACATCTTTGCCAGGGCTTCTGACTTTACCACCCGAAAGATACCTTGTTCCCTGTCTTCCCATTCCAGAATGCCACAGTTTTCTTCAGGAGAGAGAAGCAGGTCTCGCACAAATTCCCATAGATGAGAACTTTGGAGGCCTTTTGAGAAGGAAAAAAAGAAAAGTTACTTACAAATTAAAAAAAAAATTCTAAAAGTTGTACAATTTCTCATCAACTCATGAGAATTGCTGTTTTATTGGGGTTATTTTCTATATTATGACTGAGTGCTCTACTTGGACCCTCATTGGGCTGTGAAATGTCTGTCTTCTATTAAAGCAATCATAAGGGACACCTGGGTGGCTCAGTCGGTTAAGCATCTGCCTTCAGCTCAGGTCATAATCCCGGGGGCCTTAGATCAAGTCCCGCATTGGGCTCTCAGCTCAGCGGAGAGTCTGCTTCTCTCTCTACCCCTCCCCCCTGCTCCTGATCTCTCTCTCTCTTTCACACACACACACTCTCTCTCAAATAAATAGAATCTTAAAAAAAAAAATGAAGCAATCATAAAACACACGTATAGGGACACCAGATTTATACCAACTAGAAACGCTGTGGCTCCCAGCTTGTCCTTGCTCTGTGGAACCATGGACTAATTCTTAGGAATTAATAAAATGACAGTCAAATGATCTTTCTGACAGACAGTATGGTGGTACTAAAAATCCATAGCCACACCAGTGCGGGCAGACCGGTCCTACAATGATGTTTTTCATGAAAAGCTGGTGTTTCTCCTATTTCATTAGAGTTGTGGTTAAGATTGGTTCTAGGGTCCAACTGCTTGGGTTTGGGTCCTGAATTCACCTCTTCCTAGCTCTGTAATTGTAATCTCTTCAGTTATCTGTAAAACAGGATCAGAGGAGTACCTACCTCATGGCAGAAGTTGGAGGATTATGATTTTACACATACTAAGTGACTGGCACCAAGCCTGGCAGACTTGATTTGGCCCTGGGTAGGTCTGTCTTAGGGTCGGGGAAAGGCTAAGAGAATTGCCAGCACACGGTGTTTACTATCGTCTCTGAGTCCTTAAGAGAGAGGGACCCTCAGCAGACCAGGAGAAATAAACCCTTATTCAGAAATTCACCATGGTTAGACAATTTCTTTGCTTCGTCATTTTAATTCTCACAACACCATGTCCAAGTGAAAAGAAATGTAATTTTGGTAACAATTTATAAAAGTCAACTTCTCTGCTGTCTTCTTTGGGGGACACCTGGTCCCCTTCAAACATTCAGTGGTCCAAGCTTATTAGAGGACTTCGTCTCATGAATAGTTTTCAGAAATTAGAAACGAGAAAGGGCATGTCTACACTTACTCGTTCGACTATGACTGGGACAGTCTTGGCTTCTGACGCCACTTGTTTTCAAGCAATTAGAATCAGCATCTGCAATAGAATGAGTTACAGCAGTAGGACTGGTTCAGACCTCAAATCACACCAAAATGAGCAACTATGAACTGGACACCGTTGCAGTAGAAGACCCCACGTGAGGCTTTGGGGATAATTAGTAGGTGGCGATGTTTGCCTTTAGGGGGTATTTGTGTTCAAACACTAGGGGCCTGCAGGGTGCCAGGTTCTGGGCTCCGTGCTGGGAATAAGCGAGAACAAGACAGCTCTGGTCCCTGACTCATGGGCAAGGTGAAATACAAGTCAAACAAGTCACCCATAGTAAGTGTTATGAAGGAAGCAAGACATGGGGTAGAGAATGAAGGGCCGGGGGGAGTGCCTGCTTTAGACGGGGTGGCCAGGGAGGGCCTCGTGCACAGGAGGCATCCACACTGATGTGAGGGGGTGAGAGAGTCTTCCGGAGGGAAGGAGCAGCACAGAGAGAGAACCCGTGAGGCAGGCATGTGGTGTGCCCAGGGGCGTGGGGTAGACAGTGATGCTGGGGCCCGAACCCGTGGATATCCCAGGAAAGAGCAGTCAGGGCAGAGGGAGGGCACGTGCAAAGACCCTGGGGTGGAAGGTGTGGGGGAGTCTCAGAAAGAGCCAGGAGGCCATTATGGCTGGAGCAAAGTGAGCAAGATAAAATTCTAAGAATTTTATCCAGAGTGGTGGAGCCAGGGCTTGAACCAGAGCAGGTCCGTTCCAAAGCTAATGTTCAGAACTACTACTTTTATCTTGTCTTTCATAGGAGGTGTTCAATGAACACTTCATGAATAATTATTAGCTGAGTTTGCTGAGTGTTTAGTATTGCCAGGCTCTCAATCTCACCCACCCTTGTGATGAATGTCTATTCCTATCCCCATTTTACATAGAAGTAAATGGAGGCAGAGCGAGGTCAGGGAGCTCACTGCAGCTCATTCACTCATTCGTTCATGAGCGTTGAGCCACAGTATGCCCACTGTACGAGGTGCTGGAAGCACAGACCGAGGTGGGTATCTCCTCTTGGGGACTTACATCCAAGTGGGTAAGAACATCTAATGAACAAGCGATAAATGCTGAGAATATTGAAGCAGGGTGGGGGTGGGGAAACAGTGGTGAAGAGGGGTGAGCCAGCAGACAAAACTCCCTGACGAGGAGGTATTGGAGCAGGCAAGCAGCGAGCGCCGGGGATGTTGGGGGGTGGGGGGCATGGTTCAGGTCACGTGCCCGGCCGCTGATGGAGCCCAACTCTGCACCCAAGCAGGCCGGCCTCAGAGCCCTCAGCTCTAGTAGCTACAGCGCATGTCCGCTGGAACGAACAACGAGATGAATGCAGGCCTTCAGCTTTCAGGGTCCCCTCTTTTCATGGCCTACAGCCTGGAATTGCACTGATGCGGAACACCAGGCCCATGCACCCAGGCAGGTGTGTGCAAAGCACAAATGGATGCCCAGGGGGAACCCGCTGAGGACAGAAGGTAGCTGCCGGCTGGAGCGGAGTGAAAGCAGGCGAGCAGGGCCGACAGCTGGCCGATGACCAGAGGGAAGATGGCCGCCCTTCTGTCTGGTGGAGCGCCATGCTGCCTGGCGCCACCCGCAGGGAGGACCTAGTGTCGCTTTAACTTAATCTTTGAAGAAGAGAGAAAGCAGATGGAGAGGCGAGATAAACCAAGGTGACTTATGAACCGGTGAGTAGACAGTAAGCTTGCCCTGAAATGCCGAAATGGCCAGAAGAGGGAGGGAAAACGCTGCCCTTTTAATTTGTGTGATGGCTCCCATGTGCTGCGGGTGAGGGATCTCTGGCTTGGTGGGCTGAGCCCAGGACAGGTCAGTGTGAGGCAGGGTTGTGTGGACTGTGGGAGCCTCTCCTGGTGGGTCTTGCCAGAGATATCCCTGTTTTATCTGCTCCCAGTTCCCCGCGGTGGCTTTGGCGCCACTCATGGCTCCACAGATTGGAGGCCTCGCTCGGCTGGGGGTGGCCGTGGGGTGGCCGTGGGGCCAGAGGCCCTGCAGCCGTACTGAGTTAGCTGGGCAGAGGCAGGTTACCAAGTCAGAGCGTCCACCAGCGCCAGCACCAGGACCCCACCGAACTTCTCCGCAGATGCCCCCGGTACTCCGGGCGACAGGTCCCCCGGACGCAGAACTATCTTTGTCTCGGAGGGGTCCCCGCAGCCGGGCGGTGCCTGGTGCAGGGGCGACGGGGGCATGGCCTGGGTTCTCTGCTATCCGAGCAATTTGGAGAGGTTTGGTTGCCTTGAGACTAGAGACTGTTAAAATGTGGCCACAGGATATATTCTCAGTCCAGAAGCCGAGATGGGGGCTGGAGGGGCCGTTTCCCAAACAAGCTCATGATGTCCCCCATGCACGAGTGGGGCTAGGGAGCCCACACTCTGTGACGGGAGGAGAAGCTCTGAGCCTCGGAACAGGAGGCTCGCGGCGGCGACCCCAAGCCTGCAGGCTTGGTTTTCGGGCATTTCTGCAGTGGGGGTGGGAAAGGGCAGGTGGAGAGAGAAAGTGGAGAGTGGCCGGGGGGTGTCACTTGGGCCAGCCCGACAGCTTCAGAGCTTGTCGTGCCTGGGCCCCTTCCACAGGTACTGAGCTGAAAATCATCTTGTTCTCTGGGTCACTGAGGAGCTGCAGACCCAGAAGAGTCTAGAGCTTTGGGTCTCAACTGAGGGGGCAGCGGAATGAAGAGAAGGGTCTGGGGGTATGTTCACCTGTCTGTGTGCATGTGTGTGTGTGTGTGTGTGTGTGTGCACGTGTGGTGAATGGCCCACTGTTAGAAGCACAGACTTTGAGAAAATGAGTTGGAATCCCATCTGTGCACTTCTTTGCAAGTCATTGCTCTTCTGGTTCCTCAGATGTAAATGGGGGCAACCATCCTACCTCATGGAGTTAGAATGAGGATGAAATGAGTTAGAGCAGGTAAAATACTCCGCCTGGCACTGCCTGGGGCACAGGGCTTCACAGGTGGTAAGGGTAGGTGTTCGTCTTCGCTGCAGACTGATGGGAACGCTGCTTGCAGCCCCAGGATGCCAGCTGTCCTCATTGGCCAGGCCTTGGCCTCTGGCCGGCACATCTCATTTCTGCATTGGGGGTGACTGGGATCACGAAACATTAGCCGGGCCATAGGCATTGTGATCATACGTCCTGGATTTTCTAGAACAGGCTCATGGTATAGTCTGTCAGTCTGTTGTCTTCATTCTTGTTAAACTATATGTTGGGGGTTCTGTCTGGGGAGAGCTGTGGGAGAGCCAGAGATGGGCCTCAGTGGCTCCGGGGGAAGGCCACGGTTTCCTGGTGTGGTAGTGGAGGCTGCCATTCGGCAGAGCTGGGGTGCTGCTTTTTGGTGTGCTCACTGGACCACTTAACCCTGAGTTCAGTCTAGAAACGGTGCCTCTCTCGTTGGTAAGGCTGGGCAGGGCCTGCACGGAGCAAAGCCTGGGGCAGCTGCCGTCGTGCAGGGTTTGTCTCCGTAGAGATGCCAGCTCAGAGCCCTTGTCTTATCACCACCTTTACCTCCAGAAACTTCTCTCTGTCCCTCCCATCACCATCACTCTGCCTCCTGGACAATAGCCTCCTAGCTGGGCTCCTTCCTGACCCAGACATGGCAGTCTGGGGCATCTTCTTAAAATGCAGATGGGATCTTATTGTTTCCTGCTTCAGCTGCTTCCCAGCCTGCTCAGAATGAAATCCAGACTCAAAAGCTGTATGTGACCTGCTCCTGCCCTGCTCTTGGCCTCAGCTTCCGCTTCTCCCTCTGCTGATGTGGCTGATGATCTACCAAGGTGCTATCCGAGAGAACCATAATGATGGGAATCTGAGCAGTCGTACGTGGTAGCCACTAGCTGCCTGTGGCTATTGAGCACTTGGAATGTGCCTAGTGTGACTCAGCAGCTGAATTTTCACTTTATTTAATTTTAATTAAACTTAATGGCCACATGTGGCTACCGGTCACTGCACTGAGCCTCCTAGTGCTAGTTTTCTGATTCTTTCTCAAGGGCTCCAAAACTGTTCCTGCCTCAGGGCCTTTGCACTTGCCGCTCACTCCCTGTACCCTTTTCTTCCCTCTTCCTGGCTCACTTCTGCTCATCTTTTAGGCTTAATTTAAATATCTTTTCTTCCAGGAAGTCTTCCCTCATCCCTAATTGAAATGCAAACTGTTCTCCATCACACACACAGCACCCTGTCCTTTTTCTTTGTGGTATCATCATACTTAGCCATTACAAATTTATTACAGGGATTGTTTGTTTGATGTCTCCCTCACTTGCTTTATGATGGAAAGACCAAGGTTGCGCCCATTGCTGCAGCCATGGCACATAGTAGGTGCCTGGGCCTGGCTCATGGTAAGGGTACACTAAATGGTTGTTGAATGAATGAATGAATGAAAAGGAAAAGGAAGGGATGTGTGAGGAGAGGAAGGGATTAAGGGCTTCAGACTTAGACACACCTGGGTTATCTGTCACCTTCCTAACCTTGTCACTTTAACCTCTAAGCTTGGTACTAGGTCTTGTCTTACAGGGTTATTAGAAAGATTACCTGAAACAATGTGGTAAAGATTCTAGCACAGGGCCTGGCTCATTATAAGCAGCCGGGGAACGCTGGCCACCATCACTATAGCAATGACTCTAATTGGGGCTAGTTCTATACTCAGGTAACAACTTCTACAGAACTTACGGGACACACTATCTCTTCCTAGCTGTGAAGGAGGCAGGCTGGCAAAAAAAGACACCCATTTATAGGCAGGAACACTGATCACTGGGAGAAGTTTGGGCAGGTCAAACTCACTGCTGCTTAGGAGTACGGCAAGCGCCTGCCCTGGGCTCAAGCCTTTAGACAGACTCAGTAATGGCCCCTAGGCCTCAGTGGGCTCATTTCTTTCCGGGGAGCGGGGGAGCTTTGCCTGGACTGGGCTGGGTGGAGACAGCAGGGTTTGTACCCCGCAGACCGTTATGGATGGATGGGAAACTCCACGGGAACTTTGTTCACAGGTAGGAGAGGCTCTGCCCTGCGGCCCGAGTGTG